ATGGCCTCCGACCTAGAAGCGATGGCCTCCAACCTAGAAGCTTCTTGTTCCAATTCTAATTGAATTTAACTTAAATTCTACTTCTAATTCTTGTTTCTAATAGCTTCTTGCTCCTAGTAGCGATGCCAGGAGCCCCTAGTAGCGATTCCCTTAATCCTATTTTTTCGTGTTTGTTTACCACGGCTGTGAGGTGTGAATGCCGTGGACGGCCATGGCTGGAGTGCACTGCATTACGCTGCTGCTTCGGGTCAGCTCGAGGCCCGAAGTACAAATCTTTTGACGTCCAAAGAGACCATGTTTTTATATGTTTTTTTTTTTACTTCTACCTTTTCTTTTTTTCGACCCTCGTTTTTATTTTATAAAAATTTTCTTTCATTCTTCCTGTCTTTTGGTATATTATTTGAAGATATTTAGAACTTCGAGTACTAATTGAATCGTATAGGTCAAGAGCATGTTGCTGTTAGCTCTTGTCGATGACGGGGCTGCTCTTATCTTGTTGCATTTATCTTGGTTTTGGGTGGTGGGGTATTCTCTGGTGGTTGGGAGGTCAGTCATACAAGTGCTTGCCTAAAGACATCAACACATTTCTTCAAGCATTGCCTCAGGTTTGCAAGTTCCTCCTGCACCATAGCAGCGATGTAAACAGTACTTTGCAACATGGCAGCTTGCGAAGTTTCGGATTTGAGGGAGGGTAAACTGAGGCCACCGCTACTAGGGTTGGAGGCCGCTAGTAGGGTGGAGGCCATCTTCTAGCTTCAAGGCTGTGTAGCAAACTGAGGGTTTTCACGAACTCGTCAAGAAGCTACTAGGGGCTCCTGGCCTTACTACTAGGAGCAAGGACGCTACGAACGGGGCTCCTGGCCTCGCTACGAACGGAGCAAGGTTCGCTACGAATGGGGCTGGTTCTGAAACCGAAACACGAACAAACGACTTCAGAACTCGGGGGAAAGCGACTCGAGGAACGACTTCTCGACTCCGCTAATGCTGGCTGTCGAAGAGGCGCTGACGCCGCTGGTCGTTTTGCTTTGTTCGTCAGCGCTTGTGAGGCTCGGTGGCGAAAAAGAGGACGTGTAGCAGGCTTCTTTCATGTCTTTTTTGGGAACTATAAGGCTCCTTCTTTAAGTAGCAGGTTGCAGGAACTGATTTGGAACCGCGGAGGCTTTTGAAATTCCCTTGGAACCCTTTGGAGTGTTCCAAGGTCAAGTTCGGAGCCAAAGGACCTCCAATTTGAACCATGAGTCGCACGGAAGGGTTCCGGCGTTCTTCGCAGTCGCATGAGATCGTCTCAGCCACTGTGACGTGTTTGAAGCGAAAAAACACATGCCGGAGGTCAACCGCAACGCGTCAAGCCCGAGGTCTCACCACCATATCAACCCCCGCAGAGCTGTCAGTGAGTAAAGAAGACAAACACATGTTTGTTTCTGATATGTGTTTTTTGTTTTTAATTGAGGGATAGGCCGTAAAGCCTGAGTCTTAAGTAGCCAGTAGTATGGGGTAAGTAGTAGCTGGATGCAGGAACGCCCTTGCACTATTCATTTGGTTCCGATATTTTTTTTGAGAAACTTGACGTTCTGTACTATCCTTAGGAATCAGGATGGGCTTGGGGCTTGCATAAACTCTTTTTGCGCTCAGTACAAGACCACCCATGTGATGGATATATTATAATAGCAATGGCAATGGCCTCCAATCTTTTAATAGCGACGGCCTCCAACCTACTAGCAATGGCCTCCAACCTAACAGCGATGGCCTCCGACCTGTGGGCGATGGCCTCCATCCTAATAGCGATGCGATGGCCTCCATCGTACGTAAGAGTTGCTGATACTTCCAAAGGTTGTTGAAACATGCCTACGCCCCAGCAAGGGGTTGTCAGAGTTGTGTACATTGTCACACATCTTGACAAGAGGAGAAGAGGAATGACGATTGATTAAAAGTGGATAGGACAAAGAGAGGAGGATTATTGGACCTTTCTTCAGACCTTACTTCAACTTTCTTAATTTTCTTTACTAGGAGCAAGGACGCTACTAGGGGCTCCTGGCTTCGCTACTAGGAGCAAGGACGCTACTAGTAGCTTTCTTCAAGCGATGTTTGAACAGAATTCTTCCGGAATCCATGCCAAGACTCTACTGACCTCTATTTGTCCAGGGTCATCTACACGTGGCGCAGTTGCTCCTCAGCAACGGTGCCATGCCTTGGTGCAAGGTGCGATGGGTGTCGGTGGGACGCGAACTGAAGCCGTGGAAGCCGTGGAAGCCCTGTGCCGTGTCGTTGCAACACGGTAACACTTGAAACCAGCGGAACCTAATAGAGATGGCCTCCACCCTAGTAGCGGCCTCCAACCTAAACATGTCACCTGTTGAATACGTGTTTGAACGGTCACAGCAGTTTCCTCGGAACCTCAGGATGAGACGGGATTCACAGCAAAGGAGCGGGACAACAAAAGAGGTCGAAAGAAATTCAGACATGTTTCTTGCTTTTGTCGCCATGTACAGAAAACAGGAACAAAGTTTGACAAACTCACCAGGTATGCTTTCTACCTCAAATAGACCTTTGATTTTGTTGTTTTCTTAAGACTGTTCTGTTGTTCTCTTCTTGTTCTTTGGGCTCTTTGACTTTCATTTATATTATTCCTTTGTTTAGTTCTTATATTTCACTGTGACAGGACCGCTGCGACAAGAGCATTCAAGCAGACTTGGTCCAGCTGTTGATCCCCGAGCGGGTCCAATCCACCCAGCACAATTTCATCGAAGAGCGAGTGTGGTGCCACGATGCCTCCAACCTAGTAGTGGCTATGGCCTCCAACCTGGTAGCGATGGCCTCCAACCTAGTAGCGATGGCCTACAACCTGCTAGTAGCTACGGCCTCCAACCTAGTAGTGATGGCCTACAACCTAGTAGCGATGGCCTACAACCTAGTAGCGATGGCCTCCTCCAACCTACTAGTAGCGATGGCCTGCAACCTAGTAGCGATGGCCTCCAACCTAGTAGTAGCTATGGCCTCCAACCTAGTAGCTATGGCCTCCAACCTAGTAGCGATGGCCTCCTCCAACCTA